GAATTTTTTTGTCGCCAGGGGTCACCCACAAAGTCACTTAATCCGGCGGCATAATCGCGCGCCGAGTTGGCAATATTGCCTTGGGGGCGGGGGTTGGTGGAACACGTGAGGATTAGTGTGCCCCGAAAGATTCCTTACCCCCTGGGCTACGAGGTTATAATAAAGGCGGGTTCGTAACCCCTCCCCCCTCCCCCGTGTACAAGGGTGATCTCGAGCTCTCTCTCTCTCACGAACGCGACCGCACACCGACCAACGAATGGCCTCAACAACGCAGAGCGAGGGGCACCTCTTGGAAAAGGTGTCATGAGAGTTGGAGAGAATCCTGTTTCGAGGCGAATTCCTTCCCGAGGAATTACGAACTGGTCTCAGTCTACCGGCGGTGCCGTGTTTCGGCCAAGGACAAATACTTTAACGGAAGAAAAAAAGAATAATTTCACCCCTCTGTAAATTCCTGAGCTAAATCTGGAGTTCAATGCAGACATTCTTGTCGGAGCTATGTACGGGAGTTCGTTCCACAGCGTGTTCCAACGCTGTGGTGTAGCTGTCGAGTGTGCAGGCAGTGAGGCACCTTGCATATATCAGAATCGATATGCAGACTGGAGGAATCTGATGAGCTATGAAGCTCTTTTTCACACATGTCCAGGAGGACATAGGGGCACAGAGCGGAGTTTTTTTTGTATTTGCTTTGGTTCCACATTGAGAGACGTAACCAGTTCACAACTCCAGTCCTAGCGAACCACAGAGGAGGCCTTTGGTGATGGATCAGCCACACACGTTGGCAGCAGTGCACAAACAGCAACAAACTCAGAGCATGAGTCAACCAATCCAAGATTTGCAACACGCCATATTCGGGAAAGAGCTGAGTCGGCATCGCGGATAGCACAGAGAACATTAAACCAACACTAATAAATATACAATAGGCGATGATATGTGCAATGGCTGTTGTTCATAGCACACGCTTTCTGAAGTTGTATCAATTGACTCTTATCCACGCTAAATGGGACACCTCATGCCCTGCTTTTCAGGTGGTTGTCACACGGTGGACAAATCGTTGGTACGGACAGTCCCCGGCTTACAAACAGCTCAGTGGGTCTTACCTGTTACAATAAAAAGTTGAGTTTAAGTGTAGTTATTGATAGTGGTTGGCTTACCATTACTATACTTTGCACTCCTATCGTTTCTCTGCATTGTTTGTAGTTGCAACTTTCTGACCCGCTCCTACCAGACATCTGTGAGAGAGAGCTTCATCTCTCATCGGATTTCTCCACGTTAAATTCTGATGCTGACCTCGTCTCAAGACGCCGCACGGAGAGCTCGCTCCATCGCTCGCGTGTTTACTTCACAGAGGGGGAAGAGGCAGCACACCTGCAGAGTAAAGAGCGACGGTGACTGGGGCGACGCCGCCGCTGTCGCCCGTCAGAGATGAACCGAGCCCGACTGTGGCAAATCACGAAATGTGATTTTGCCGACTCCCGTGAACTCGTCGCACGTGAGATCGCAGCTTTAAATCGCGGCCGGCTAAAAACCGGATTCGAACCCAGGTTTCTCGACGGTGCTGGGCTCGGTGTCTCTGACCTCTGAGCCACCCAACAACGCGAATATTACAACTGGGATGTTTGGCATCACGGTTTTGCCTCGGTTCAATTTGATACAAAAAGACAAAGATCCCCTCCGGATAGCCTTAATAGACTGTTTGGGTCGAGTGCTGTTAGTGCTGTAAGCAAGCACGTACATTTAACACACACACACGCCCGCGCGAGTACACAGCCCTGTTGTATTTTTTTGAGTTGGCTATTTTACACGGGACTTCCGTGGTGCCGTGAGCACAGCAACATCAACAAAGGACAAACAACAACCCATCAACATTGCCGAAAAACAAGTAGAGGCTCCTTACGGAATATCGCACAACTTAACAAAAGCGGGCCAGCACCTGCCAGAGCTAATGATGATACAGGAACAAAAACATAGGGGGTTTCCCCTTTTTTCTGGCAACAAAACTTAAACCTTTTACAGGTACTGGCAAAGGAGGTCTAATGATGATACACGAAATAAGAACTCGAGTTTTGAATCGAGTCGGGCCATCACAGGAGCCTAGAAGAAGAGGCGATGGGGGGTGGAGGGGGTGGAGGGGGCAGGAGCGAACCTTGTCGTCGTCCCCTCCACCACCCGGTGGCCAAAGCTACGAGTTGGGGCCCCCTTTGACAACCACCATGAGATTTGTCTTCAAGAACAGTGTCAAAGAACAAAACACTTGTTCAAAACCACGGTTTTAATTTGTTTTAAATCAAATGTTTAATGATGTGGTTAGGCAAGAGGAGTCCGCGACATATACCAGCCTAGGTGCGACCGTGCGAGACAAATCTGAAAAAAAAATTGGGGGGGGGGGCCCACTTGACCCATTGCTGCTGATACCCTCTGAGCTGATCATGTCGCTACCACGCCACCGTAGAGGGGGCGGCTCTAAAGTCAGAGAGCAGAGCGAGGGCTCAATGAGGGAGAGCAGAGCGAGGCGTAGTCACACACTGCAACACGGCGGCTGGGACGCGAGCCCTGTTGGCCGCTTCGGTTGGCGAGCGACTGCTGCGTTGCTGGAGAGCGCGCAACAGGACAGCACCCCCATGGGGGTGTGGGGGCAGCCCCCGGGGGTTGGGGAAAGGTTGTGGGGGCAGCCCTGGTCCCAGTACAACGGTGCGTCGAGTGTTTTTTTGTCGCGTCGATCCGAGCAAAATCAAAAGTCAAACTCGTAGGCAGGTGGTGGTGGTGGTGGTAGAGTTTTGGGTGAGTGGTGGTGTAGCGGTTAGCGCGCTGCGCTACGAACCCGGCGACCTCAAGTTCGATTCCTGCTCATGGCCAACACCGGTGACGGTTATCTGAACAGGGCCTCCCCTAGGTCAACTCGGCCTCAAATGAGTATCCGGTGCGGTGTGTAAACATCGCACTTAGGTAGACAAAGGCGGTCGGGCGCGGTGCTGGCCACCCACCCCCTCATGTGCCGTGCCGGCCTTCATAGGTGCTCGCTTAACAGCACTTGCCCCTACAGTCTGTTGAGGCTGTACGAGGGTGCTTTGTATTTGGTGGTGGTGCTGTTGTTGCTAAAACGAGAAGTGGGAGGAAAGCTCCCCTTGTCTGGCGACCCAGCCGGGGGTGCAAATTCCACATTGAGATCGACGAGACGACCACTGTTGTAGACTTCCCAATCGACATACTCATTGGCTGCTTTAGAGTATTTGGCTGCTATAGATTTCCACACGCCGATAAGCCACTTCCCGTTGAGATATCATTTGTGGTCAGTTCGCTTCTGAAAAAGAGCTGTGTAGCTCAGTGGGGCCTTGCTTGGTAAAAACAAAAAAAACCGACACCCGCAATCACACGAATACACACCCATACATGGTTCATACAGACGAGACACACACCATACCACAACATCCACCATTTACCACGATTCTATTCGTGCGTTTTTGGCAGTGCGTTCAGGAGCTAAATGCCAATGTCGAGGTCTGCTGCTGCTGGTCACAACGAAAGGGCTTCGGGAGAGAGTTCGCGTCCTTGTCGCTGTCCTCAGTGGTTTACTTTAAGGTCCGTAGTGTCGGTTCCATGGCCACAATCTCACTCGCGTGGCTTGTCTTTGATGTACCTCTATGGGTCTCTCATGTATGGCTATGCGTCTTTATGCATCAGTGTGTGTCCCTATGGGTCTATCTGTATCTTGTGGGGAGCGATAGTGTAGCGGTTAGCGCGCTGCGCTATGAACCCGACGACCCGAGTTCGATTCCCGCTCACGGCCAACACCAGTGACAATTATCTGAACCGGTCCCGGGCCTCCCCTAGGTCGACTCAGCCTCAAATAAGTGTGGTGTGTGAACATTACCACTACGGAGACAAAGGCGGTCGGGCGTGGTGCTGGCCACCCATCCCCTCGTGTACCGTTGCGGCCTTCATAGGCGCTCGCTAACAGCACTTGCCCCTACAGTCTGTTAAGGCTATATGGGGGATCTTTGTCTGTGTGTCCTCCACGTGTCTCTCCGGGATTTTTGTTACCTTGCGGTCCATAGCTTGGGTTGCAGTGCCACAATCGAACGACTGTGGCTCGCGTCTTTCATTTTCCACTCACGGAGATGCGCGCATCGGCCAGCTGCTGTTGATGTTCTGATGCCGTTGATGGTTCCACCACCAGCGTCATAGCCAGGAGGTGCTCTACGTTTTGGCCACTTAACAGCAGAGACGTAACCGCGGCGCTCGTGCCAGGCTAGGTGCACCTCCCGCACCTCCGAGTAGCACGCTTGGCTACGTACGGCGCGAAAGAAGTTCGACGTACTGCGTGCATACTTTGAGACCAACGTGTGCGACAAAGAAAGGTTTCGCTGGTGGCGGGTCCTAGGGGCAAGACGCTCGTGGTGTTGGTTGGTCAGGGGCAATTGGCAGGTGAGCTACGTGCGTATCCCCACGCTCTCATTTGTCCGCGTTTTAATCCGCCGGGACCTCTGCACACACACCCCACACACACCACACCACACACCACACCACACACACACACCACACACACACACCACACACCACCCCACACACCCCACACACCCCACACCACACCCCACACACACCACACACACACACACACCACACACGCGCGTGTGCGTACAGCCACAATGTAAATAATGCCTCCTCCACAACTATCCTCGAACCGCCCTGTCCCCCACCGCCATCACAGTCCACCCTGGCGGAGTTCAAGCACTGCAAGTTGGAAGCGCGCGGAGCGACGCGCGTCAACAAGCGGATGCCACCCTCCACTAAACCACGCGCGCGACAACTCGAGAAACGTGCCACTCGCTAATTGTACAACGGCGAAATGATTTCGACGCCTCCATCGCCATCGACTCCGGACACACGAGGTGCCTGGGGGGCTTGTTCACGTCCGTCGGGCCGGTGGCGATCTGAGCCGAGATGCGAAGACGGCGGAGAGTGGAGGCGCCGCGCGTCGCTGCGTAAAAGCGCACGGCACTCACCTCTCTGTCGGTCCTGTCGCTCTTCCCGTGAACGCCTCTCGCACGCCCGGTGTCTTCACGCCTTTGTCTCCCTTCGCGCGCGCGCGCGGGCGTCCTTAATCCTGTGGTCTCGGGTCGCCTCCTCTCCTCCTCTCCCGTCACGCGTCCTACCTCCCTCCCGCACGCCTCCTCCTCCTCCTCGTCTCCCTATCTACTGGTCCCTGTCGTCTTCTCTCGCCGCCACCTCGACCTCGTGCCCTCTCGCGTTCTGTTCCTCCCTATCCTCTCCCCGTGCGTTCTTCCGTCTCCTTCCCCTCCTAGGTCCAAGCGCCGAGCGTTGATCTCGCCCCCATCTGCGCCACTCTCCGCTCTCTCTCTCTCGTGGCTCTGCACCCTCTCACTCCCAGCGCTCTCCTCTCTCTCTCCCCGTTTGTTCACCCCCTCTGACATCACATCCTGCGCCTCACACCTGAAGGCAGCGGCTGCCCGGGTCCCGCGTGCGAGTGACGCCCCCACTCAGCCGCGTATGCGCGGTACACGTACGTTAAACTTCTTTCGCACCGTACGTAGCCAGCCGTGCTTATCGGAGGTGCGGGGCGAAGGACAACGAACTGAACACGAAAAGTAGTTTAAAAAAAAGAAATTAGTTTTCCATCGAGATGAGTTACATGTGCATAGCTCCCCAGTGGCTTCCTCACATCGCAAGGAGGAGCGTTCCAGATGGCCGCAGAAACGCATCGATGCGGTGACCGATAGAGGCCCCCATGCGCTGAACCGTGACCTTGCAGGCTCTGTCCAGCGCTGGACCTTGACCGGTGGTTGTTGTGTGGGGGGGGGGGGGCACAGCGTTAAAGCGCGAAGCAGAACGAGTCACGGTACGCGATCTTCCCTCAGCTGCACATGCACTAACGTTCTCAACGTTTTTTTTTCGTGCGAAAAGTCGGTGCCCTTGTGAAGCCACAACCACCGCGTTTGTGAAAATGTTGCACCGCGGGTTGGGAAGATGGGCAAGCCCCCGCCCCCCGCCCGCTCCTCCTGACACCACGGGGCTGCGTAGGTTCCCCCTGAGCACCTCGCCTGGAAAAGCCATTGCCACCCCAGGGGCCGTTCATAAATGACGTCACGCACCTAGGTGGGGGGGGGGGTCAGACATTTGTGACGAGGGGGGAGGGGCTTTGAGAAATGTGACGTCACATCAAATATAGACAACGCGTTCTATTCAATTAAATATACTTTTTAATACATGTTTTCTCCTACAACATCAGAGTGTAGCGCCACATTTAATACGCACTACAATGGCAATAGTTTAAAGCGATTTGAAGCATGTTTTATTTTCAAAATGGAAGTTTGGTTTGGGGGAGGGGGAGCAGATCTTTGTGACGTCATATTTGAGGAAGGGGGGGGGTCTGACTTTTTGTGACGCCGTGTGACGAAGGGGGGGATCAAAAATCTTCCAAAATTGGCGTGACGTCATTTATGGACTGCCCCTAACGCAAAGCGCCCAATTTAACCAGAGCAGCGTTCTTCATTTTTCAAGGCTCAGGGGGCCACTGGCGGCCCCTGGTGGCCTTTAGTGCGGCCCCTGACGTAGCGGCCCCCGACAATACACAACGCGTGAACACCACACACCCATCATCATCATCGTGCTTCTGTGAAACCCACAACGGCCATCAGCACTGATGATGTCTTATCGGCGAAAGTGCCCCCCCCTTCCCTTCCCCTCTGAAAATGTGTGAAAAACATTGCCTGAAACAAACATCCCATCGGAGCAGGACTCTCCTGAAAATAATGTTGGGAATCAGTGAGGCTTTTACCGGATGAATCCATGGCAGCGGTGACCACATTGCTGACGGATGCGATCGTGGACGTGGTTGTTACTCAGCTTTCACATCTCCCAGGTTAAGCAGCGGGTCGGTGGAACCAGATAGCAACACCGCCCACCCCGCTACTGGCAGACTATACCTGTCTGTGATGGACAGCGCCTTCGCGATCGCCTTACGCCGCAAGTGTAACTGACTGCTAATCAGCGCTCAATATGTGATGATCATGGGTGACCATGTTGCCATACCCTGCAGTGAGCCTCTCACAGAAACATTGCCATTACCTTTCGATTTAAAGCTTTCGTGACCGCAGGGATTCATATTCTTGGTTCTTTCGGTAAAGTCACGTAGAAGGGAAATAATAAAATAATGAAAATATAACAATAACATTCTCACGACGTTTCCATTGCAACACAAGCAATCATCATCAGGTGTGAAAACCACAGCTAGTGCGGGTCCTGTAGCATATATTATAAAGGGGCCCTAAATGAAAAAAAACCCACCTAAATATTAAAACACAAATGTTTAACTTGCATAGTAAAGTAATTGTGTTGTTCATTTGCTACACAGCCAGATCATACGATCGCTAACCTTGAGAGGCTCACGGGACCAGCAGATGATCGCACAACGCACGGACGACGCTGCCCTCCGACTGGTCCGCGCGTTTGCTTTGCTCGACGGCGCCTTTACCAACGGCGAGGATTCTGATTTGAAATCAGTGCGGATAAAGGAGGCCGGTGGGATGTCCATCACCACCATCACCATCATCACCATCATCACCACCATCACTATCATCACCACCATCACCATCATCACCACCATCACCACCATCACCATCATCAACCGGCGTGCACGCAGATAAGGCGTGTCCCTGGGAGGCGACTCAGTTCGGGAAACAGTCTTAGCCCAATATATTTGTCGAATAATGGAACAAAAAATACGTAAGTGAAATAATCATAACAATGCATTGACAATTTGACACGTTCTATGGACGTGTAGGGGTGTCAGGGGAAGGATTCCCACCAATAGGTGGGTTAGTGGGAGGGGTGATCGAGGAGATATAAGGAGAGAACGGACGGGAAGAGGGGGCCTTTGGCGGGAACGAGATTGGGACGGCTGGGGACAGGTGTGGATGGAAGAAAAGGAATAAAGGACGAGACCCCTGCAATCTGGTGTCGGCTCCCCCTTTACAGACGTAACCTGTCCGTTCCTCGCTGCGGACGTGACCTTCCCATTGGACGTGACCGTTACATGGGCCTCGCACAGTAAGAGAGAAGCAACGGACAACACGCAGCCAGCCAGCCAGCCAGCAAAACTTGTTTTTATCTCTCTCTCAATAATATAGCATGGTGTATCTTTTTGGGGAGGGAGGGAGGGAGGGAGGGAGAAGGGGCTGGCAGTCACAACTACCCCTTTCATTTACGCCTCCGGTCATCATCCTCGTGTTGTTTGTCGCTTGTCACTCTGATTTCTCGCAACACGGACCTGAATCTATATGTGTAAAGGAGCCGTCCATAAATTACGTCACGCACCTTGGGGGGGGTGGGGTCAGACATTTGTGACGATGTGTGACGAGGGGGGGGGGGGGTGAGAAATGTGACGTCACATCAAAATGCGCAACTTTAAATAAATATAGACAACACGTTCCACTTAATTAAATAGACTTTTTAATAAATGTTTTCTCCTACAACATCAGAGTGCAGCGCCACATTAAATACCCACTGCAATGACAATAGTTTAAAGCGATTTGAAGCATGTTTTATTTTTGGGGGGGGGGGGGGGGGGTAGAGCTTTGTGACGTCATATTTGAGGGGGGGGTCTGACTTTTTGTTTCGCCGTGTGACGAAGGGGGGGGGGGTCAAAAATCGCGTGACGTCATTTATGGACGGCCCCATATTTATATCAAATTAGTGATGTAACTGTGTCGTGTTGATGCGTGCCGTGCCCATCGCTTGGCGTCCACTCTGAGTGCAAGTGCCCGATTTAACAACGACGGCCGCCATTCGCCACTCGGTAGCGGTGACGATGCCACGGCGCTTGTGCCAGGCTAGGTTCACTTTGAGGCCACTCGAAGTTTCGAAGGCTCGCAGCATGTAGGAGGTCACGGGACAGACCCCCCCCCCCTCCCCCGATGTGCCGTGTGTTGACGGACTGAGATGACCGGCAGATGCACCAGCTGTGCCCCCTGCTGTGCACATTCGGTGCTGACGTGGTGCTGGCAACTCGTGGCTCCACACACCAAGGCCGTAGCCATGGAGTCAACATTAGGGGGGACCAAATCTTCCAGGGCCCCCCCCCCCCGGAAAAAAAATCTAAATTTGAAAACGAATTTTCTGCCTAAAATATAAAAAAAATTCACTGACACGTATGATGGACTTTTTATTTCATATTTTACAATAATGTCTAATAGTAAACTGTATTGCATTGCTCTGTTTTTTCTTTTTTTACTTTTTCTTGTTTCATTGTATGTAATGGCAGAGATGATGGATTAATAAAGTACAACCATAACCACAATCATATAAACAGAAATCTATTTTATGGCAACATATTGGGGGGTGACATTTTGAGCATATTTGAAGGGCGAACAGCACGCAGGCAATGCCACTATCAGAGCATTTATAGCTCGGGGTGAGCAGCTACAAACGTATTCATGGCTACAACTTGATTCCTTGCAAAAGGTTTCTATCCGGTGTTTTAAAAGCTTAACACCTCCTGTTTTATTGACAGAAAGGGCAAAACCTATTCTTATTCTTTCATAGTATGTGGCTGCTATACATGTCCACGTGATAAGCCACTTCTTTGAGCTATCATTTGTGGCCAGGTCACTTTCGACAAAGAGCTATACAGCTCAGTGGGCCTTACCTGGTTAAAAAAAAGGTTAAAAATTTTATTTAAAGCTTTCGTGACTGCAGGGATTCATATTCTTGGTTCTTTCGGTAAAGTCACGTAGAAGGGAAATAACAAAATAATATAAGTATAAAAAGTGGCGGTTTTTCCTAACGTGCTGACGTTAGGAAAACCGCCACTTTTTTCAAATTTTCTTGCTGTGGATTTCACACCTGATGACGATTGCTTGTGTTGCAGTCGTAACGTCGTGATAATTTGTATTGTTTTATATTTTTATTATTTTATTATCTGGCTGTGACGGTCCCACCTGATGACGGAGACTTGTGTTCCCTCCGAAACGTCGTGATTTTTATTATTTTATTTTTATTAATTTTAATTTCATTTTTTACCTACGTGACTTTACCGAAAGAACCAAAAATTGTTCATTTTATATTTGCACCTACCCACCCAGCTGCCTGTCCGCCCTATGGCCTAATCCACCTTACCCATCGCGCTGACCTGGTGTCCGTAGTGGCCGTCCTTTCCAGAGATCGTTTCCCGCCGCGGAAATGTGGAATTCCCACATCTGGCTCAGTTTGAGGCCAATGGAAAAACGGCGCCGCCTCGATGAGACGCTCACACCCCGAGAACAGAGGTCGCAACCGGGTACCCGATACCCGTACCCTACCCGATACCCGGCTACCCGTACCCGGCCAGGTACGGGTACGGGTACCCGTTTGCGACCCTGGTGCGGCCAGGTACGGGTACGGGTAGGCCGTGAGTCACTGGTG